GGAAGCAGGCGTTGGCGCTGGGGCTGCCGTCGTCGCGGCTGCCGGGCGACGAGCCGGGCTTGCTGCCCTCCATGCCTCTGCCCAGCGAGCGGCCGGGAGGCGGAGGAAGGGAGGTGGCGCGGGAGAGCGAGCGAGGGAGGCAGCGCCGGCCAGGCGAGCCGGCTCCGTCTTGCAGCGGCGGCGGCGGCGGCTGCGACTGCTGCCCGCCCTTCAGCGGCTCCTCAGCCCCTTCTGGCGCGCCTCGCGTGGCAAGTGGACCGACGGGAGAGGGGAGGAGGGCCGAGCCAGAGGCAGGCGGGCGGGCGGGCGGCAGGCTCCCTTCGAGCGCCCTCTGCCGACCGCAGCGGCGCGCCTGGGCCCGCTTCCCTTCGCTTGACATTGAGCGACCCGGACGAGCCCGGGAGGAGGGAAGGAGGGAGGGAGGGAGGATGGAGCGCGCGGTAAGGCAGCTGGCCTGAGCCAGCGTTTCCTCCTCACATCGCCGCTACCCAAAGAAAGGGACCGGGGCTCCCAAGCTGGCTTCGCTTGCACAGATTTGCCTTCCACGATCGCTCCTCGGTCCCGGTGCCTTTAGCACGAAGGACGGCTTCCGAGGTTGCGCAGGCATGGAGGTGCTACCCAGCTGGGGGTTTCGTTTGTGGCAACCGGGCGCCCTCCCCCCGGAACGAGCTGTTTATTGAGCATTTCACTCCCCGGGTTTGTCCGCAGCGAGGGACGTTAGACGACGTTAGTGCACTCGCCTGCTTGGGATGAGGTTAGATGAGGTCGCATCAAGCGCCGCGCACACACAGCCAGTTCCCAGCAAGCGTTCCTGTCCCCTATCGCAAAAAGCCGGATCTTTCCGGGGCAGGGGGGGTTCATTTATGAGTTTATTTATAACAAGTGCTTAAGTATCGCCCCTCTCATAAAATAGCAGGGTGGTGTTTCGCAACATGAACGCACACATGCCCACAAAACACATTCGGTGCAGGACATAGGAACAAACACGGGAAGTTGTCTTATACTGAGTTAGACCTCCGGTCTATTTTAGCACATCCCTGCACTCCCAGTCTGTTCTGCTGTTTCATGTACAGTACATACATAGAGAAGCTGCAGTTGCCCATATCTTCCCAGCACATGAGGCACATTCAACCAGCCATCACTGTAGCATCTCACAGTGGCCTCTTGTTGTGTGAATGAGCCATCACAGATATCTGGAGAGGTGTCACCCAAAAGATGAAGAAGACTTCTACTCTGTTTCTCCGAAGGCAGAAGGGTAGAAATTGCAAGGAAGTGGAATCCAGCTGAGCATTAGGAGAAGGATCCTAATAGTAGGGTCTGTTTGACAGTAGAACAGTTTGCAAACTTGAGACCCACCAAGGTAAACACAGCCCATCAGCTATATTTTGTCAGCTGCCAGATGTTTGGCAAAATGCTGCCTCTGTTTCTATAATCCAAGTCAGAAAAGGCAGGCAGCTAGGGTGAGCCTCCTACCCATACATTAATACCTGCTGGATGAAGAGATCCTGTGGTTTGTGCCATGTTTTGCTTGCTTGAAATGAATGGGCCAGTTTTGCTAACCTAATTCTTTGTGCCTCTGGCATAAGGAGGAAAGAAAAATGAGGGATGCTTCATCAGACCAATTACTCATCCAAGCCTGTCCACACCTAGATGCTCCAGGAGTTTTTAGCTCTACAGTATTAATAAAAAGCCACCTACTCTTGGCTTGCTTTGGGGCTCTAGTTTTGGCAAACAATCATGGAAGTCTGTTTTTTAGATGTCTGTGGATATATTTTTTTTAAAAAATCCTGTCTCACTATGGGATTTGGAGTGGTTGACCTTCTGTTCCTTTTGTGTGTCTAGAAAGAAAAATGCACAGCCAGTGTGACTGTTGATGCCTCTTCATGATGTCTTTGCTTAACAGCGTTTGATTTTCACATCATCTGGCAGCCTTTCAGGTGCACATAAAGCCTCCTATCAAGATCCCTGCTTGGACACACCAGTCTGAACTTGAGCCACTGAATGGTACTTATCACTTCCTTTGCACCATGAGGAAGAACAGTTGGAGAAAGGCAGCTGATCATTATGCCAGTGCAGAAACATAGGTAGAGAACATGCACTTTGATCCAGTGGAATGGTAGAGCAAGGGAGATCGGTGCAACCTGTCATTAATCTGGAAGCTGTTGTTAGTGCAGAATGTTGCAGCACAACTACTGACAAGAGCGAGGCCTCATCAGCATATAACACCTGCACTAAGAGATGTGTACTGGCTGCTGATTTGCTACTGGACTGAGTTCAATGTCTTATTATCAGTATATAATAAGACATTAGTGGGACACGGGTGGCGTTGTGGTTGAAAACACTGAGCCTCTTGGGCTTGCTGATCAGGAGGCTGGCAGTTCAAATCCCTGTGACGGAGTGAGCTCCCGTTGCTCTGCCCAGCTCCTGCCAACCTAGAATCATAGAATCATAGAATCATAGAGTTGGAAGAGACCACAAGGGCCATCGAGTCCAACCCCCTGCCAAGCAGGAAACACCATCAGAGCACTCCTGACATATGGTTGTCAAGCCTCTGCTTAAAGACCTCCAAAGAAGGAGACTCCACCACACTCCTTGGCAGCAAATTCCACTGTCGAACAGCTCTTACTGTCAGGAAGTTCTTCCTAATGTTTAGGTGGAATCTTCTTTCTTGTAGTTTGGATCCATTGCTCCGTGTCCGCTTCTCTGGAGCAGCAGAAAACAACCTTTCTCCCTCCTCTATGTGACATCCTTTTATATATTTGAACATGGCTATCATATCACCCCTTAACCTCCTCTTCTCCAGGCTAAACATGCCCAGCTCTCTTAGCCGTTCCTCATAAGGCATCGTTTCCAGGCCTTTGACCATTTTGGTTGCCCTCCTCTGGACACGTTCCAGTTTGTCAATGTCCTTCTTGAACTGTGGTGCCCAGAACTGGACACAGTACTCCAGGTGAGGTCTGACCAGAGCAGAATACAGTGGCACTATTACTTCCCTTGATCTAGATGCTATACTCCTATTGATGCAGCCCAGAATTGCATTGGCTTTTTAGCTGCCGCGTCACACTGTTGGCTCATGTCAAGTTTGTGGTCAACCAAGACTCCTAGATCCTTTTCACATGTACTGCTCTCAAGCCAGGTGTCACCCATCTTGTATTTGTGCCTCTCATTTTTTTTGCCCAAGTGCAATACTTTACATTTCTCCCTGTTAAAATTCATCTTGTTTGTTTTGGCTCAGTTCTCTAATCTGTCAAGGTCGTTTTGAAGTGTGATCCTGTCCTCTGGGGTGTTAGCCACCCCTCCCAATTTGGTGTCATCTGCAAATTTGATCAGGATGCCCTTGAGTCCATCATCCAAGTCGTTGATAAAAATGTTGAATAAGACCGGGCCCAAAACAGAACCCTGTGGCACCCCACTAGTCACTCTTCTCCAGGATGAAGAGGAACCATTGATGAGCACCCTTTGGGTTCGGTCAGTCAGCCAGTTACAAATCCACTGAGTGGTAGCATAGTCAAGACCTAGCAGTTCGAAAGCACGCCAGTGTAAGTAGATAAATAGGTACTGCTCTGGCGGGAAGGTAAACGGCGTTTCCATGTGCTCTGGCTTCCATCACAGTGTTCCATTGCACCAGAAGCGGTTTAGTCATGCTGGCCACATGACCCAGAAAGCTGTCTGTGGACAAACACCGGCTTCCTCAGCCTGAAAGTCTTTGATTGGACTTAACCATCCAGAGGTCCTTTACCTTTATAAAGCCCTTAACAACTTTAAATCAGTTTACCTCCAAGATCATCTTACCCCACATGTGCCCACTTGACTGCTTCAGTTGGTGGAATTGGCACAACTACAGGTGCCACTTAATACCTGTTCCACATTTGTAAGGACTTGGTCACTTAATGTGGCTGCACCTACACTTCGGAACTCCTTGCCAATCAAGATGAAGCAGGGACCTTCACTCTAACCTTTTTTGGTGCCTGCTAAAACATTCCTTTTTGGACAAACCTATCCTGAAGCTTAGAATATTTTAGCATTTTAACTTCTGTGTGTTTTAAAGTACGGCTATAAATCCTTCTTTATTTTTACAATCAAGCGCTGTGTAACTTTTATGAAATAAATAAATAAAATAAGAAAATGGTCAGTGAGAATCAGCGCTAACACTAATAGCCATCAATATTCAGCCCAGTAAGAACAATAAAACCACATAGGCTATTAAAATCCAGACAGCAACATGTCATATAAAGGATCCAACACAGGTATTGAATTATAAGTCTCCAAATTCTTTCCAAGCCAGCCTGGATTTCTCCTACATTCCCTATATATCCTGGAAAGCCAGGTAAACTTTCTTATCAGCCACCCTGGCCCGTTAACTAGAGTAGTCCCAGCAGGAGATTCACTTTGACTGCACCTTCCAATTTCCAGTGAAATTCTTGCAGAAGAGTTGAAGTATGGATGAGTAAAATTTATAATAATTCTAAGAGTAGAGTAAGTTAAGACAGCTAAGCTGCCTGGCTCAGTCACAGGAGAAATCACTGAGGTTTGTGTTTTATTGATGTGATAATTGTTTATGGCAGTGGGAAGTAGCGGCAGAGTTTAGGTACTGGACTACAGGAATCATTGGTGCGGCAGAGATGATTGTAGAGTAAATTTGCACTTTGGAAACAGCAGCCCCACTGTCTGGCAGCTGACTCAGTACTTAGAATGTTGTATTATTTTATTGTTGTTAGCCGCCCTGAGCCCGGCTTCGGCTGGGGAGGGCGGGATATAAATAAAAATTTATTATTATTATTATTATTATTATTATTATTAGAAGGTCCACCATCCAGAACATCTCTGAGGGCATAAGTATGTGGAGGAAATCGCATCTGGCCTGTCATATCCAGATGCAAAGAAAGAAAGAAAATATGTCTATCCCCTTTCTGCAAGCAGACACTACAAAGCCATAGAACTGTAGAGTTGGCGCACCAAGGATCATCTAGTCCAACCCGCTGCAATGTAGGAACCTTGCTCACAGCCATCCCTGGTGGGGCTTGAACCACCAATCTTCTGGTTAACAGCCAGATGCACTGACCCAGTGTACTTTGTCCATACCACTGTGCCCAGTGGTGCTGCTCTGTGTGGAGGATTTTCCTTCAACTGAACCACCTCAGTGTCATTACTTAGTGCAAAGAATGGCTTAAGGTACAGGGATGAGCTGCATTTCTAAGCCAAAGTGGTCCACTGGATAAGGCTGGAGGTCCATATCATAATCTCAGTTTACTTACTACATGTCTGGCCATGTTAACTGGCTGTAACTGAGGACCTGCCCATCACTCCTTATCTCTAAAATGGAAATAAAGGGGTTGCAGGATAATAAGAGCAGTGCACTTCACAAAGGCTCGTTACTGGTCTATTTATTTATAGGCTGCTTTACTTCACAATATATACCTGCCCTTCAGTAGAAAGATTTCCAGGTCTAGTGTGTTGTTTGATGAGATAGGTTTAAAAAATAATAAATAATAAAGCAAGACAGTTTGGGTCCCTTAGAATGAACTGACGACCAAACACTTAATCTAGGTCATATTTACATTTTGTGAACTTAAACCAGAAAGCTTTATTTCCTTCTTTATTTATGTTGAAAACTTGCACACCACTTTTCATTTATACATTGATAAATCTCAAAGTGATCACAATATACATAAAACCCTTAAAATCAATAAACAACAATGGTGAAACACTTCCAACTAGTCATATTGTTTCAGCAACGGCAGCAGGCAGTGGTGGGCCATGTGGGTGGCTCAATGTCAATAGACAGAAAATGCCAAGGTACACAGAAAGGTCATTGACTGCTGCAAAAAAACCAAACTATCTGGCGTCTTATTCCTAAAGATTTGAACATGCAGCATAGGCCAGACAAATGTGACAGTGCTGTTTTGCTATATTCCCAGTGAGTGCATTGCAATTGCCATAGTTGTTGGTCAATTGGCTGGCTATTCAGATGATTTATGTCATCCACACAGTCCCTGTAGATATATATTTTAAAAGCTCAATCTTCCAGTTTGAAAGCCAGAAATAAAGTTCTAACAAGCTGCAGAGCGTGACCAAGGCAACAGTCCAAAGCCACGTGGAATTATGAACAACAACTTTTGACTTTCTTGTTAAGTATTGTCTTGGGAAGATGCTCTCCTTACTATAGAACATGGGAACCTGAGAAGCATCTTGCTGAATCAAGCCAAAGCCATCTTCTTGTCACATTGGCCAACCAGATGCCTATAGGAAGCCCAAAAGCAGGCTGCAAGCACAGCAGCGCAAGGATACTTTAGACAGAAATGCATGCACAAAAGAGGAAGGAATTTTATGGATTGCTCATTTCCCAGCATAGCATTTCCAAGGTCATCCAGATCTTCTCTCCAGACTTCTAATTTTCAGAATAAAGCTGGTGATGTACAATAACACTGGGCAGAGAAATCGGGTGAAAGGAGTTTACTTTTTCTGCCAGCCGTCCTTGTCTCTTCTTCACACCAACACTCACAGATTCCCTAGCTTGTCAAGAGCTGAAGCCAGCGTCAGATGCAAGGACGTGAACAAGTTGTCACAACTTTTTCTTTGCTTGAGAATATAACATCAGCTGCTGACAGATCATACAGGCTTATAAGGAGGCACAAAACACATGGAATGAGATAATGACCTTGAAATATTGGAATAGTCTACAGACAGTCTTGCTTGGGGGTTCTTCCACATGGCAATTTATCATGAACTCAGTGCTGCTCAGGCATGCAATTTTTTGCAGAGTCCACACACAACTTCATCTAGATTTACCATGGCAGTGTGGGGCCCTTTTCAGAATGAGGACCATGCTATCTTATGGGCAACCTTCTGGGGTCAAAGGGCAAGGTGGGTGGGGCCAGAGGCAAAAGTGGGTGGTGCAATGGAAATGGCTTTGTATGGTACATTCAAGCCACACAAAAAGGGGAAAGATCTGGTCTGCTAAAGCATCCTGGATAATGATTAATAAGGTTAAGCAACCTTGTCCCCACATTTGATTCTGCAAAGGGATGGTAATTTTAAACTCTGCTAACTAGACATTCGACTCACACAAGTGAGTAAGAGGAAGGATAAATAATAAATGATATCCTACCCTACCCTCCAAATCCACACAACAAAATTGAGTCCTGGGCCTGAGATTACACTTGGTTTGCTGTTTCCATATGGCTTTTGCTTGAAGTTGATGTGTGATGTGGAGTTGGGCAGCATGGAAGCACTAGGCTGCAGAATCACATAATGTGCCATGACAGGCATCCAAACAGATCCAATCAGTCTTTCGACCACTGAACTATGGAAAATCTCTTCCTAGTACAAATGTGTTGGGTCTCTCTCTCTCTCAGATCAGAACGGTTCACTGAGCTATTAAGTGACCCTGCTGGTGGAAAAGGAGCATGATAAGAATGCAACCGCATGGGTCACCTGCCATGGAATGACATCTCCATAAAATACAAGTCACCGTAGAAAATCACAGCACCCTCCAAGAAGGTTATCCACCTTACTGTCAAAATTCCAAATCTGTCAAAGGCTGGATGACTGGAGTGTTTGCTTCAAAACAGGAATTGAATTACTGCTTAATCATGTCTGGCTCACAACTGAAAATTACCTAGCTCAAAATATGCAAATATATTTTGAGATAAGCTCTCTTGGAAACGGTCATCTTTCCTGCAGTGTAAATCAACAATATGTATCACTCAAAGGCACCAAAAGCAGGGAAGACATCATAGAAGCATAGAATTGTAGAATTGGAAGGGGCTGTGGTGTTTGCCTTCCTAGGTATGTGACATCATACGGGGTTCATAAAGAAAGGGTTAACTAATTGTAAAATGACTAACCTATAGGAACCCAAGGGGACGAGTTAGAGTTAGAGTTGTTAAGAAGTCAGTCTGCGGTTAGAGAAGGGATGGAGAGGATAAGTCTGTGGATTGGGCTAGTCTGATGTGAGAGAGTGAGAGAATCTGTTAAGAGGAGTCAGTCAAACAGTTAAGATAATAATTCAGAAGGTATTAGGAAGGTATAGGCCGGTAAAGAAAGTAAAGTAAAGAAACTGACCAGAATATTATCTGAGAAACCATAAACTTGTTAATACTTATAAAATAAACTTGTTTATTTGGTTCAATTTAAGCAACTGTCTGGACTCAGTGTGTACCTGAGAGTAACGGGTTGGTGGCAGCGGGGAAGCAGGCACAGTGGTGGCACAGGGATCAATAAACCGTCAAATGCCCAGGGACCCTGTATGATCACCACAGGGGCCCTGAGGGTCAGCCAGTCCATGCAGGAATCTCAACTAAAGTATCCATAATAGATGGCAGAGATGGATTTAGGGCAAAATGACTGGTCACTGAGCAAATTAAAAAAATAGTTTAAAGAAAGATAGGAGGTCTGTCCTCAGAGAGAAATTCATGCCCTGGGATGCCTTCCTGTAGTCACTACCAATGTTGGCACCCAAGAGGCAAAAAGTCTATATTTCATAGGTCTTTCCCATTTTATCTGGCTGTAATTTATTCCCCTTTTCATTTCTGGCTACTATTGCCTGTCTGAACATTCCCTCCTGCAACCTCCCAACCGCAGACGGTTTTTCATTTTCCTTTGGTGTGCTTCACACTGAAATATAGTCTTCAAGGTGATTCATAGCGCCAAAGCGAGACGGGAACAAGCCAAGAATGCACTTTCCAGGATGGCAAAACATTAATTTGGCTGTAGGTCTAATGACTTGGTATGATCAAGCCACATTTCTTGTAAATTGGAATGAAAATGCCATCCTTACCATTTTTTAAAAAATATTAATTAATTAATTAAATTTGTATACAGCCAATGACAGGGCGTGTCAGAACATAAATATACAAAATGAGAACACAAAATATATGCAATAAAACAAAAACAAAAATCATCATGCCTCCTTGTCTATGGACAATTCTGGCATAATCTGCTGCTTGGCAGAACTGTGTGGTGTTATGGGGACATCATCAGCTTCCTTGGCTCTTTGTCAGTCATGTTGTACCGTATGTGTCTTAAAATGCTGTATCACCACATTCTAGGACTACAGAGACCCTCAGGTTATACAGCCCAGAACCACTGGCATACACAAGCTTGGGACCCACTGTGATGCAGCAGATAAAAGGAGCTCACATCATTGCCTGGTAAGACCATTGCAACCAACAGTTGGAACCCAATGAGCCTTGCCATGGCCTGATGATTATCATCTTGTGGTTACATGGAGGTGGGCTTTCTCATGAAGAGCACTGGTGTTTTGGAATGCACTCCCTGATGAAATATGTGAGGCCCCATCTGTATTGGTATTCCGCGGGCTTTAATTGCTGTGTGGTATCAATGGGGTAGCTTTATGGTGTATGTGACTTATGGATATTTTAAAGTCTGTGTAATGGGATATACATAAATACAAGAATAAATAAATAAGCAATCTGTGGAACTATGAAGGCTTGTTGATGTTTGTCTAGTCCCCTCCAGCTTCCTCCAGCCTCGGCCCAGTACACCTGAAGGAGCGTCTCCACCCCCATCGTTCTGCCCGAACACTGAGGTCCTGCTCCGAGGGCCTTCTGGCAGTTCCCTCCCTGCGAAGTGAGGTTACAGGGAACCAGGCAGAGGGCCTTCTTGGTAGTGGCACCTGCCCTGTGGAATGCCCTCCCATCAGATGTCAAGGAAATAAACAACTATCTGACTTTTAGAAGACATCTGAAGGCAGCCCTGTTTAGGGAAGTTTTTAACATTTGGTGTTTTATTGTGTTTTTAATATTCTGTTGGGAAACCCAACCAGATGGGTGGGGTAGAAATAATAAGTTGTTGTTGTTCCTTTCCCTGGTCTGCAAAAGGAGGGAGCAAACTCTTTTCATTCCATCCAGGCCTCTTCCATTTCATTCCTGCAGATCAGCGAGAGGGCATTTAGCTTCATTATTGCCATCCATTGCCATCTCCTTTGCCTCGAGTTCTTTCTCCACAGAGCGAGTCCCTGCCATGGCTAGTTGGTCATTGGTAGACATCAGGTTCTGAAGCAGAGACTGAATGGCCACTTGCCAAGGATGCTGTAACAGTAAATTTCCTGCAAAGGGAAACACTTAAGACTAGATTACCTT